CGATGTGCTGCATGTTCCCGATATTCGCAAAAACTTGGTATCCGGAGCTCTGTTAAGCAAGAATGGGTTTAGGCTGGTATTTGAATCTGACAAGTTTGTACTCACCAAAAATGGCATATTTGTGGGCAAATGGTACTTAGCCAATGGGCTACTCAAATTGAATGTAATGCCTGTACTCCGTGATTTTGATATTAATAAAAATAAATCTTTTGCTTACTTGATTGAGTCTTCTAGCTTATGGCATGATAGGTTAGGACATATAAATGTTAATACTTTACGAAAATTAGTAAGTTTAGATTTATTGCTTTCTATGTCCTTTGATCAAAATTATCGATGCGAAACATGTGTAGAGGCTAAATTAGCGAAAACACCATTTCATTCAGTTGAAAGGAACTCGAATCCTCTAGAACTAATTCACAGTGATATTTGTGATTTAAAATTCGTGCAAACTAGAGGAGGTAAAAAGTATTTTATTACTTTTATAGATGATTGCACAAGGTATTGTTATGTCTTTTTGCTAAGGAGTAAAGACGAGGCTTTAGAAGCATTTAAACAGCACAAGAATGAGGTTGATAATCAGCTAAGCAAACGAATAAAAATTGTTCCTAGTGATAGATGTGGGGAATATGGAGTATCGTTTGATGAATTTTGTTTAGATTCTGGAATTATTCATCAGACTAAAGCTCCTTATACACCTTAATCAAACGGTATTACGGAACACAAAAATCGTACTCTAAAAGAGATGATGAACGCTATTTTGGTTAATTCTGGTTTACCACAAAACTTGTGGGGGGAAGCAATTCTCTCGGCTAACCACATTCTAAATAAAATACCACACAAAGGTAGGAACGAAACTCCTTATGAGGTATGAAAATGTCATAAACCTTTGTACAAATACTTAAAAGTGTGGGGGTGTTTGGTTAAGGTACAAATATCAAAGCCTAAACAAGTTAAAATAGGCCCTAAAATCATCGATTGCATATTCATTGGATATGCTAATAACAGTGTGCTTATCGGGTCCAAGTACATAAGTCTGACATTCTGAATATACATGAAAATACTATCATTGAGTCTAGAAATGCTGTATTTTTTGAGAACAAGCTTCCTTGTAAAGATAGGAAAGAAATAAGCCCGCAAAAACAAACTTATGATTCTGCAATTAGTAATCCTCAAAGTGATGAAGAACCAAGATGCAGCAAAAGAACCAAAACATCTACATCTTTTGGTCCAGATTTTTTAACTTATATGTTAGAAAATGAACCTAGGACATTCAATGAAACAATGTCTAGTCTAGAAACTCCATTCTGGAAAGAGGCTATCAATAGTGAAATTGATTCTATTATGCAGAATCATACATGGGAATTGGTAGATCTCCCACCTAGTAATAAAATATTAGGTTGTAAATGGATTTTCAAAAGAAAATTAAAGACTGATGGATCAATTGATAAATACAAGGTCAGATTGGTAGCTAAATGATTCAAACAAAGGGAAGGCCTTGATTTTTTCGATACATACTTACCTGTTACAAAGATAACATCAATTAGAATATTAATTGCAATCGCAGTATTGCATAATTTGGAAATCCATCAGATGGACGTCAAAACAGCTTTCTTAAATGGTGAGCTAGAAGAAGAAATTTACATGGAACAACCCGAAGGGTTCATCGCTCCTAGACAGGAGAAAAAGATGTGTAGACTCGTCAAATCATTATATGGACTAAAACAAGAGTCAAAACAATGTCATGCAAAATTTGACAAAACTATGTTGTCAAATGGTTTTAAGATTAACAAATGTGATAAATGTGTTTATATTAAAACTACACCTAATGCATATGTCTATACATTGATGACATGCTAATTGTGGATAGTAGTTATGATATGATAACAAATACCAAGAAAATGTTGACAAAACATTTTGACATGAAAGATATGAGTATTGCAGATGTAATATTAGGAATTAAAATTCTTAAAACATCTGAGGGACTTGTAATGTCTCAATCTCACTATATTGAGACTGTACTTAAAAAGTTTAATATGTATGATGAAAGTCCAGTTAAAACACCAGTAGATTTAAGTCTACATTTGGCCAAACATAAGGGCGAGCCCGTATCTCAATTAGAATATTCTCTGATAATAGGCAGTCTAATGTACATTACAAACTGCACTCATCCGGACATTGCATATGCAGTAAACAAACTTAATAGATATATAAGTAACTCAAATAATGACCATTGGAAAGCACTGGTAAGGGTTCTAAGATATCTACGATACACCTCAAATGTTGGATTACATTATACGAGATATCCAGCTGTATTAGAAGGATACAGTGATGCTAATTGGATATCAAATACAAAAGACTCAAAATCCACTAGTGGGTATGCTTTTACCATTGGTGGTGCGACTGTATCTTGAAAATCCTCTAAACAAATATATATAGCTCGATCCATAATGGAATCTGAATTCATAGCTTTAGATAAAGTTGGAGAGGAAGCAGAATGGCTTCGAAATTTTTTAGAAGATATTCCATGTTGGCCTAAGCCTGTGCCTGCAATTAGTATACATTGTGATAGTCAGTCGGCTATCGGTAGAGCACAAAGTAGTATGTATAATGGTAAGTCTCGACATATTCGTCGAAGACATAATACAGTTAAGCAGTTGATCTCAAATGGTGTTATTTCCATAAATTATGTAAAGTCTAGAGAAAATCTTGCGGATTCGCTTACCAAAGGCTTACCAAAAGATCAAGTATACTGTCTATCAAGGGGAATGGGCTTAAAGCCTATTACATAAGAATCTTTGTAATGGTAACCCAACCTTGTTGATTGGAGATCCCAAAATCTTGGTTCAATGGGACAACTAAATTATGAAGATTCAATAAGCACTTCGGAGTTAACTCCTATCCATTCCCATGATAAGGAAGTGCTATCTGCAGAAAGTTTTAGGTTAAGTTCTACTTTTAATGATTCCTATATCTTGAACTACCTAAGTGGAGTATGGCAGGTACTCTTAATAGGAGATCACCTATACAAGTGTGAAGTGTGGCCGCTTCTATGAGAATGTTTCAAAGGCTTGAATTCTCTAAAACACTTATGAAATTCAAGAGTTGTTCAGGACCAAAATGAACACAACAGTGAGAACTCGAAAATGTTAGGAATGTTATTGTGTTGATACTATTGTCTTGCTTTACAAAAACGGCTGACAGTTCAAGACACCGCGTTCACTGATTAGCCAAGTAAATCCGATAGTATTCTACTACGGAAGGTTTAAACCCATAAGGTACCTATCCAGATGCGATAACATTCCGCCTGATCTCTCTATAGGGTCTGCATAGTCTATTGCATTAATTTTCATTCATGTGGGGGATTGTTGAATAAATTGGGTTAATTAGTTGGTTTGACCAACTTTTGACCAATTAATTTAGTGGGTCCCGTTAATCGGATATAAGATTTCTTTAGCCGAATGTGTTCTACTCCATGAGTAGATTAATATGGTATATTTATTTTCTAAAAACCAATTTAGGGTGAATGAGAAATTAAGGCCAAAAGATACCCACTTGATGTTGAAATAAAATACGTGGAAAATTGAAAAATACCAATCCTACATAGGAAAACTAGAAGAATATAAACCACCTTATATAGCTCAAGTTTGGGACTTGAGTTTGGGCCCTAAGGGGTACCAACAGTCTTTGAGGGGGAGAGAACCTACATGCTAGTTGGTTAAGTCAAAACTCACACGCGCGCGCCGCCGCCGCAGTCAGTCCGATCGGCCAGCTCGGCACGGCATGGTCACGGGTTGTGGGCTTGGGCCAAACTGATATATATTTTTTTTTGTAAAATAACATTTGAATTATATTATTTGATTATTATAATAATAATATATTTTATGTTATTATTTTTTTCCCCGACTTTTATGTGTGTGACACGTGGTGCGGTGCTTCTAGAATTTGGCGGGTTGTGGCGATTGACTGTCCAAGTGGCGGTTAATTGTCCAAACTGTTTATGTCTTTTGGGCACAACTTTTCGACAGTTGTGTTTGTTGTGATATAACCTTTCAACATCTATATATAGGCCCCATACCTTGATTTTAATTCATACCAAAATCAGAATTGATTTTCTACTCTCCCGAAATTATCCTTTTGTCCCTGCATCATTTTTGCTTTTATAATTCAGTCCTCAAAAATTATTTTTCGTGCATTTTACATTCAGTGTGTGTGGAGAGATCTAAACTTTACGGGTTCGTCGGGTCTTGTAATTTGGAGTACTACTATTATAAGACGAGGTCGTTGTATTTTGGAAAACGAGTGCTACAATACCGTCAATACCAGTGCGGGGCATTATCGTTTTGAGAAGAAAGAGTCGAACTCTTGCCTCGATCATTCAAAATCATCGAAACGTCGTTACTCTGCCCAAATACACACACACACTATTATTTGCCTATATTTTTCAACATCTACTCTTCCTCATCAATATAGATTAAAAAAAATTATATTGATGAGAATCTTATCAACTTTACCTAATTACCTAGATAACAATTTAACAAAATGGCACTGCAATCATTTTGCATTATTAAATAGACATATTAAGATTTTTTTTCTTCGTAGGAGGTAAACTTTAATTTGAGTCTTTTAATTAAAAATGTAGATCAACCTAATATTTTTCTTCATAAAATTTTGTTTGAAGAGTTAACGGAACACGATATTTGAAGAAGAAATAAAATCATTGAATATGATAAATACCCTTTAATTTATCGTGAATTTCCTATGTTTTGACGCGATAAAATTTAAATCTATTTTACAAATTTCTATTTGTATTTCCCTACAAAAATACCTTATTTCATCAATTGTCACACACGCCCTCTAAACAGCAAAATAAATACTTCTTCTCACTCTACGTTCGACTCAAACTTTCCTGCCCATGAAACTCCAGTCCCTTCAAGAACTCAACTTTCCTGCCAAGGTGAGGTGAATATATCTCCTCCTTCATCATGCCTTTCTGACATGCTTGTTACACATGATTTTTTTTTTGTTCTATTATATTTATTCGTTCACATGGGTGCTTATTTTTTTCTTAAACTTTATTTTTCTCCCTTGTAAGTTCTGTACAAAGGTTCATAACTGAAGAAAAGTTAGATAAAACATAAATACGAAAACCCATCTGTTCAACTTTGATCTGCACGAAGGTTTCACGTTCACGTTGGTGTACACAAGTTAGCACATATACATGTTTTTATTTTTCTGTCAAGACCCCCTTTTTTGGTTCTGATTGTCTTTATTCTGTAGTCAGCAGTGCACACAGTGAATAAACTCCTCTTGTCTTGTGGGTTTTCAAGAATAAATTTTTGGGATAGAAGGGAATTATGAGTAGAAGTAGTGTGTGCAATTGCTGGTGGTTCCATTTTTCTTGAATGTTTTTTATTGTTTATAATATTATTTAAATATATGATGCGTGGCCCGGAAAATGTGATTTTCGGTCCATTCTGCTTGCTAGTTTATGCGTTCTTCAGTTTTCTATGTTCATCGGAAAAAATTAGCTAGTCGGATTATTGGTTTGGTTACAGAATTAATGTGGCTTTTTGCTGATGTTATTAATGAAATTCCATAATTCAACATATATTTTGGGTTATATTGTTTGCTAGAGCTTGTTAATTTACCAATCCAGCAGGGAAGAATTATTTTTTATTCTGCTTTCTTTTTTCATATAATCTGTCAAACAATTTTTATTTTTATAGTTTTTGTCATTTGCATTTCTCTATTTGGTAGGTACAAGGGATGGGTTCTTTATCATTTTTTAGAGGGTTAGAATAAAGAATTTTGATTTATCTACAAATGCAGAATATAATTTATTTTCTGTAATAGTGTCTAATAAACTCTAGTCGTTTTGCCGATGTTATTAATGAAATTCCATAATTCAACATATATTTTGGGTTATATTGTTCGCTGGAGCTTGGTAATTTACCAATCTAGCAGGGAAGAATTATCTTTTTATTTCTGTTTTCATTTTTCATATAATCTATCAAACAATTTTTATTTTTAGGCTTTTTCATTTGCATTTCTCTATTTGGTAGGTATAAGGGATGGGTTCTTTATCATTTTTTAGAGGGTTAGAATAAAGAATATTGATTTATCTACAAATGCATAATAGAAATTTATTTTCTTTTATAGTGTCTAATAAACTCTAGTTTGACTGCTTAAGCAGGTATTTTCAATTTGTGCAGTTAATGTTTCTTTCAAAAAAGTGAATAATAGTAAGGGATCAGTTCTGTGATGTTTTTAGTGCTTTTGGACCTGATCATACACCATTAGTACATACTTCGATTAGTAGTGAAGATTCTATTCCTACCATAAGGTAGTTGCATTTAAGTAAGTTGTATGTTTATGTCTTCGTGTTTTACAAATTTATTGGGAATAAGGTCGTCAATGACCACTTGATCTTGAGTTTGCTTGGCCACTAGGAAGGGGAAGGGTCATTCGATGTTTAGGATATATATTTTGACGAAGATAATGGTCTTGGCTTAAATTAAATAAATGGAACTACCTGATCCTTCGTGTGTATATTGTATTTATAGAAGCTAGAGTGAGTGGTTGGGGCTGGCTATGTTTCCGTTTTACGGTCAAAGCCATGCCCCTTTTGTGACCGTCAAAAACATACCTAGTCACTTAGCCTGTTGCATTCCCTAAATTTTCAGGTAGACACCTTAGTAGTTGGGAGCAGTTAATTGCTCAACCTGCCGACATTGGCTTTTTGGCTCAGCTTATACTTTCAGTGGTGAGTTACTCGGATCAGCCTAAATAGATGTGTATGAGAGTTAGTCTAGTCAGCTCATTTCGATCCCAGTTATACTACGTGGAATGCAAACATAATAAAATCTCTTGAAGTAGTATTGTATATCATTAAAATCTCGAAGAAAGAGAACTATATTGTTTCTGGAAGACGAGCTCTCTTTCATGCTACCCTTATAAGTGGGCACGCCGACCTTCAAGTTCAGAGATGGATATCTTGAATATACACTTCTATCTAATTGCAAGGCATTGCTTATGAGTTCCATATAAGAATTAATATTCAGTTAATGCAGGAAAACTAGTTCTACATTACGATATAAGCTCTGTACTTTATGTTGGAATATTTGATAGTTCAAGCTGCTCTTTCAGATCTTGGAATAAAATGGTGTAAAGGAGTACCTGAATTTAGCTTGTATATTATCATATGGGTAGGAAACAGGTGTTCCCTGACTCACAAGTTCTACATTTTACATGCAGGGGACTTGTACACAATATGGACGATATCTTCAACGAGTCTGCTAATAGCTCCCCTGCCATACAATCTTCAAAACTATATTATATATTTGGGGATCCTGAAATGTTGCCTAAAGTTGGAGTTGAATATCAAGCCGATGTTCCATCACTTATCCCAGGCGGTCATCATTTGCAGCTTGAAACAAGAAAATCTTATCCCCAAATCACATTAAATATACAATATGCAAAAGTGCATGCTGCGTTGGACAATGGAAAAGAAATTGGAGGGTCAATAAATCATCAGCCCATGTCGGCTGGTGATAGCATGGATATCGAGTTGGTCTCAGCCCAGGGCAGAAAAGTTAATTCACAAAGCGAAGCTTGGACAACAATTGAACGTGATAGCTTTCTCCTTGGCTTGTACTTCTTTGGGAAAAACCTTATGGTGGTGAGAAAATTTGTTGAGACAAAAGACATGGGTGACATGTTAGCACACTATTACGGGAACTTCTATAAATCAAGTGATTATCAAAGGTGGTCAGAAAGTCGAAAGCTGAAGAGCAGACGGTATGTACATGGACAATGGATATTAGCAGGTTGGAGGCAGCGGGAATTCTTATCTCGTTTGTTTTGCCACGTCTCAGAGGAATGCCAGACACGGTTGACAGAGGTATATTCTTGCATTTTGAATTTTCTTTTAACCATCTCATCTAAAATTTTAAATTTTTAAAGAAGGGCTGCCCAAATTTATTTATTACAATTTGGTCTTCAATAATTTTAATTTCCCAAGCAGAGATGTAAAAGTCTTCATTTCGTTATAATTGCGTATAATATTAACTCTTTTGTTACATAAGCCCAATATTACATGTAAGTTTATAAGATTTCAGAAGCTGCATGCCCGAAATTTATATATATATATATATATATATATATGCAAAGACGTGAATTTTGCTTAGATGAAGCGAGTAATGCAACATAGGATAAACAGTACAAAGACAAGCCATGAAGCCACCGTGTTAGGTAGGAATAATTTTGATCTGAAGGAAACAAAATAAGCATTACTCTTCACTTGGTCTTATGAGTCTGGTGGATCTTGTCAAGTTGAAAGAAATTTCGTGTCAGTGGATCTTCATTGTCGAGCAATCTGCTTTTAATCTTTGGTGTTGTACTTGCCGTGCATTTGAAAGAACTTTTGAAAATGATTATTTTTTACCTATTTTATCCACTTCTTTCGGTATACATTCTGAGAACTTGAAATTGTAATATATGCTGATTACAGATGTTCGAGGTTTGAAATGATTGCGTCACCGATTGCTCCTCATAAGGGCCTAAACCAGAGGACTATATTGTATAGCACTATTATCCTCATAAGACTAGAACAAATATTTATTTTAGGCTGGTATTTCAGGGAGATAGGGAACGCCGGGCGTGCTGTGAAGAGTTTGTTTCTTACCCTTCTTTGAAGTGGACTGAAATATATGAAATTTGGTATCTTTTTTCTATTTTCCGAACACCTTCAAGTTGAAATTCAACACATGTACTTAAGATTACTATAAGCCTTGACATGGATTCTAGCTTCCTCTTATCTGTTTTGAATGTCTGTCCTGGGTTTTTTTATTTATCGTATTGTAAAAAATGTGGTATTGCTGTGAAATGGGGTTGTATTCTTTTTGTCTTCCTCTTGAAAGTTTTCTCCACTGATTGATCCCACTCTCACTTAAAGAGAAAGAGAAGGTTCCCTCCACTTAAAGGGAGATGCGTTACCATATCTTAAATTGACAATACGTATTGGTGTACTAACAAGAATTTTGACAATATTTTCGGGTCTCTGAATGTGATCTGTTGCAGGTTTCGACAAGATTTGCAGAAGGAAAACTTTCACTGGAAGAGTATGTATTCTCTTTGAGAAATGTGGTTGGCACCAACATGCTTGTAGAAGCAATAGCAATAGGCAGAGGGGAGGAAGACCTTACCCGCACTGCTATTGAGCCTTCGAAAACTAATCATTCCATAACTCTTCCTGCTGGAATACCTAGTGGCAAAGAATGCTCATCTCTTACCTCGAGTGAAATCGTCAAGTTTCTGAGGGGTGATTTTTGGCTAAGCAAAGCTCGATCCGGTGACCTTTTCTGGGAAGCCGTTTGGCCCCGTCTTTTAGCAGGAGGATGGCACTCCGAGAAGCCTAGGAGTCTTGTATATGCTGATCCAAACTATTCTTTGGTTTACATCATACCCGGTGTTAAAAAATTTTCCCGGAAACTTGTGAGAGGAAGTCAATATTTTGATTCCATTTGTGATGTCTTGAAGAAGGTTGCATCCGAGCCTCGTCTCCTCGAGTTTGAAAATGAAGCGACAGAAGATAGCACAAAGTTGAAGGGAGACATGTTAACTCTACAGACAGAACAGGAGTTGGAGAATCAGAAATGCCGTTCTTATCTCCAGCCTTCAATTTCTACTTGCAATCAAGATTCAATGAAATTTACAGTTGTGGATACCAGTTTGTTTCGTGAAAGCGGAAGGATGAACTTGAGAGAGTTGAGATTTTTGCCTCCGGACCCTTTAAGTGCACGCATGGAGCCAACACATTCTAGCAAGGAAAATAGAATTTCAGATCCACTGGAAGATGCAACTGAGACCAGACCGTGCAATGACACAGCAGATTGTGAAACCGATAATTTCAACAAGCAATTGCCTACTGCTCCAGATCCTATAACTATAGCAGTAGAAAATCATCATGACAGAAGCTCGACTCCCTCCTCTAGTTGGAAATCAAGGACGACGGTAAGATTCCAATTTAGTCGGAGGCTGAAAAATCACAAGTTAAACCAGCCAGCTTCCATTGCTGATGAGCAGAACTTCACCGGTGGCAGCAATAAAAATTCAACAAATGATGCTGAAAACATCTCCATGGATGCTAATTCAAATGTACAGGGATCCTCAGGTTCGAAAAATAGTCCAGTCACTGAACCATACCTAAATTCGTCATCGAACAGTACTTTCTCTGACATCCCGGAGGAGAGCAGTGAAAGAAATGTTAATACGCACTTTCCAGGCAGCGAACTGTCTACTGTGAAGTCCCATCCTGAGATACTGATTGGCTTGAATTCTCCTCAGGTGCTGATGGATTCCCTACTTGTGGACGAGTTTGATTCTTCTGTCGACAAGTCATTCTTGCACTCCGAAGGTACTCAGCAGTCCGGGATGCTGGTTACACACAATGCTGGAATCCCTGTAGGGAAGCAGCCTGGTCGGAGGCAGAGCACGAGAAACAAACCTAGTGCGAAAGGGTTGGAAGCCATTGCATGTGGATTCATAGGAGCAAAACAGAAACGAAAGAGTGTGGAAGCCATTTCTCAAAATGACTGCATGTCAATGCCTTCACGGTGCGTGCATGGGAAGAATTTAAAGATAGAATACTCTGAAATCTGAATGATACTTCAGGAATGACACACTATCATATTAACTGTACTGTATATTATGTACTGGACATGATAATAAATAATATTCATGATATGCGTCGATCACTTTTAATGTTTAAGTAATATTTTTTGAATTTATTGTCAATTATTCATAATATATTCATTTATGTTCAAAAGCTTTACCAAATTATATCTTTTTTGCACGAATTTTGAATCTTCATTTCATTTTTATAAATCTGTAAAGTTTGAGAGAGTTTTCCCTTCCTCCAAGAAATCTACTCTTCCTATCAACATGGATTAATAAAAAATAAAAAATAAAAAATAAATTATATTGAGGAGAATTTTGTCATCTTTAATCTAGATAACATTTTAACAAAATGACCATCTTGCATTATATTTATATATGTACACATTTATTTTATTTTATTTTTATTTTCTTGCAAGATATAAATTTCATTTTGTGCCCGATTAAAAATGTAGCCGAGTCTAAATTTTTGTCCATAAATTTATATTCGAATGGTTACTCGAATGAGATGTTCAAGAAGAAAAAAAAGGCATCAACTATGATAAATCTACTTTTATTTATCATGGATTTCTCACAGTGACGTGATAAAATTTAAAATTATTTCACAAATTTCTATTTGTGCTGTCACTAATTTGATCGAACTTCTTATACATCGTTATTAAAGATTAAATTAAACCAACGAATTTCATTAGAGATTATCAAGATTTTAAATTTAATTTCTTATGTTCTATAAATGAGTTTCATATACAACTAATGAATTTGATTACAAGTTCGAAACTATAAAATAATTTCTTAAAAACCTCTATTAACACTTCAACTATGCTACATTAACATCAAGTTTGACATAAATCGTCCACACTAAGTTCACCATTTTATTATAAATGTAGGAAAGACAGTAGAGAGTGGGGGCAGAAGAAAAATAGCACAGCCTAACCTCCACTAAAAAAAATAAAAGAAAAAAAACTTAGCCAGTAAATAAAAATCTATTTATATTTAGGTTAAAAATACCATAATCCATAAATTGTCACCCACCCCCTCTAAACAGCAAAGTAAATACATTTCTCACTCTACGTTCAACTCAAATTTCCTGCCTTTGAAACTCCAGTCCCTTCAAAAACTCTACTTTCATGCGCAGGTGAGGCGAACATATCTCCTTATTCATCATGCCTTTTTGATATGCTTTTACACGTGATTTGTTTTTTGTTTTTTTTCGTTTTTCTGTTATAGTATTTTCATTAGTTCGCATGTGTGCTTATTTTTTCTTGCACAAACTTTATTTTCCAATTATCATTTCCGAAGAGAAGTCAATAGATGCATAAACTCGAAGACCCATCTGTTCAACTTTGATCTGCACTCAGGTTTCGCGTTCAAGTTGGTGTACAAAAGTTAGTACAGATACATGTTTTTACTTTTCTGTCATGACGGTTTATTTTTTATTTATTTCTTTATTTTTCATTGCCTTTGTTCTGTAGTCAGCAGTGCACACAGTGAATACACCCCTCCTGTCTTCTTATGGGTTTTCAAGAATAAATTTTTGGGATAAGGTGGGAATTATGAGTAGAAGCAAGGTGTGCAATGGCCAGTTGTTCCATTTTTCTTGAATGTTTTTATTGTTTATGTTATTAGCTATACATGATACATGGCCAGAAAAGAAAAGATTGATTTTTCCTTCTCTTTTTTTTTTTTTTTCAGAGTTTTGCTTGCTGTTTTATGCGAATTTTTCATTTTCTATCTGCATCAAAAAATTAGCAAGTCGAAATTTACTTTCGGTTTGGTTACAGAATTAATGTGGCTTTTTGCTGAAGATATTAAAGATAATCTAGAATTCTGCATATTTTGGGTTATGTTATTAGTGAAAGTTTGGTAAATCCAGCGAGCAAGAATTTTTTGGTTATTTCCATTTCTCAATTTAGTAGGTACATGGGATAATTTTTTTTTTTTTTTCATTTTTTCAGTGGTCAGCATAAATAATTTTGATTATGTTCAAATTCAGAGTACAAATTTAGTTTCTGTAATAGTATGTAATAAACTCTAATTTTGCTGCTTTAAAAGGTGATTTCAATTTGTGCAGTTTATATTTCTTTCAAAAAAGTCCTAGATAAAGGATCAGATTTAATGACTTATTGGTGCTTTTGGACCTGATAATTCGCCGTTAGCAGTTCAGTTATGTTATGTTTATTTCATTTTTTTACAAATTTATTGGGAATAAGGCTTGTTAATGACCAAATCCTGCAAGAGTTTTCAGTCAATTGATAGAGCCGAAAACCTCTATCCTGTTCTAAAGACTTACGGACATAAACAAGGCTTATTTGGTGTCATTGTATGTTGGTGTTTCCCTTGAAGTAGTATCTTATACATTAAAATCTAGAAGAAGAAAACTTACATTGTTTCTGGAAGATGAGCTCTACATTTTAAAAGACATGGCCTACTAAACATCTTCTCGACACTCAGCACTAGATGCTTATTGGGGCATAGTTTCTACAGAATTATGCTACTCTTAAAAGTGGACAGGACATCAACTTCAAAGATAAATATCTCGTGTTAGCACCTTCTCAGTGATTGCATCGCATCTTCCTCGTGTTCCGTTTATAACAAATAAAATTTAGTTGTATGCAGGAGAAAATAGATGATTTCTTTTATGATTCAAGCATTTGTTTTTTTTTTCTTTGAAATTCTTTATGGAAATTTTTTTATAATTGATGTTAGAATATTTTAAGGTCATTGCTTCTTTTTTTTTTTTTTTTTTTTTTTTTTTTTTTTTTTTTTTTTTTTGCTTTGAAATTCTTTATGGAAATTTTTTTATAATTGATGTTAGAATATTTTAAGGTCATTGCTTCTTATTGGATCAAGAGAGAAAAGGCGGGAAAATATGTATTCTATTTCTGGAAATGAAAACCGTATTTATAAAGTGCCTAGCAGGCATATAAATAACAGAATGACAGCTGGTGCCAGCTTGTGTAAAATATCTAATACTCCCCCTCAAGATGGCCGGTGAATGTCAAGGACCGCCATCTTGGAAAGTAAAGGAAATAAAGAGGCTGCAGGTAATGCTTTTGTGAAGACATCAGCTAGTTGGTGATTAGTGCGAACTGGAAGAAGTTTGAGAAATCCATCTGTAACTTTATCCCACACAAAATGGCAATCTATTTCAATGTGTTTCGTTCGCTCATGAAATGTAGGATTGGTGGCAATGTATATCGCAGCTTGATTATCACAAAAAAGAGCCGCCGGTCCAGGATGTGGAATATGAAAATCAATCAACAATTGATGAAGCCAAATGAGTTCACTGGCTGTTGAGGCAAGTGCCCGGTATTCAGCCTCTGCATATGAACGTGAAACAGTTGTCTGTTTCTTAGCTTTCCCAGAGATCATAGAGTCACCGAGGAATATGCAAAACCCAGTCACAGATTTTCAAGAGTCCAAACAAGAGCCCCAATCAGCATCAACAAAGGCTCTAAGTTGTAAATCAGAAGAGGACGAGAAAAATAAACCTTGTCCCGGAGAGGCTTTCAAATATTGTAGAAGATACTGTGCTGCATAAGTGTGGTTGTCTGGGAGAAGAGACGAACTGGCTTAGTTTGTGGACTGCAAATGTGATTTCAGGCCGAGATAGAGTAAGGTACAACAAACGGCCAACCAACCGTCTGTAGAAAGAAGCATCAGGAACTAGATCCCCTTCAAACGAGCTAAGTTTAATCTTAGGATCCATAGGTAAAGAAGCTGGTTTGCAGGCAAGAAAACCTGAATCTTTAAGCAATTGTAACGTGTAATGACGCTGGGTGATAAACAAACCCTTAGATGATCGAGCAATCTCCAGACCAAGGAAGTACTTTAAAGATCCATGATCTTTGAGTTTAAATTGGCTATGAAGAAACTTCTTTAACTCATCAATGATAACCAAATTAGGACCTGTGATGACGATATCATCAACATATACTAGCAAGGCCACAAAAGAGGAGCCTGCACCCTTAGAAAATAGGGAATAATCAGATTTGGATTGTGTAAAGCCATGGAGAACAAGAGCCTAGGAAAATTTTGAGAACCACTGTCGTGAGGCCTATTTTAAACCATAGATTGATTTATGCAAGCGGCATACAAGTTTCTCCCCCTTACTATTAATCTTCCTGTCTGTGGTATAACCTAAGGGCAGGTCCATATATACTTCTTCAAACAAGTCTCCATTTAAAAAAGCGTTGTTAACATCCAATTGAAAGAGATGCCAATTTTTGTTGGCAGCAATGGCAAGCAACATTTTCACTGTGACTAACTTTGCAACTGGAGAAAAAGTTTCAAGAAAATCTAAACCTTCTTTTTGAGTATATCCCTTTGCAACCAGCCGGGCCTTGTAACGTTCAATACTTCCATCAGACTTGTATTTTACTTTAAAAATCCATTTGCATCCAATTGAATGTTTGCCTTTAGGAAGAGGTTGAATTGACCATGTTTTATTTGACTCCATAGCATCCAACTTATTAGCCATAGCTTCTCTCCAGTGTGGATAGTGGACAACTTGATGATAAAATTGAGGTTCAAAGTTGGAAGATATGTTGAGAAGGTAAGCATTATGGGAAGGTGAAAGGGATGTATATGAAATATAATTGGTCAAGGGATATGGAGTGGTAGGTGCAGGATGAAATTTGTGTTGAAGTAAGTTGCAATGGTATTCTCTTAAGTAAGATGGAGTTTTGATGACCCTTGAATATCTTCAAATAACTGGATTATGCATTGTGGTGGAATCAGTTAAATTGGGAATATGGTCAGGTGTTGGAGTCGGATTATGTATTATGGCAGTATCATTAGCAATTGGAGTAGTGGGATCAGCCACATTAGAGGCTGGTATGGGTAAAACTAAGTCTGGAAAAGGATCAGTGATCTCAGTAGGATGAGGTATGGATTGGAAAGGAAACAATGTTTCATGGAAGATCACATCACGAGAGACAAAAAAATTTTTGGATTGTATATCATAGAGTTTGTACCCTTTGACTCCTGGCATGTAACCAACAAATATACATGCCACAGCACGGGGATGAAATTTTGTTCGAGTGGAAGGTAAAGTGGATGCATAACATAGGCAACCAAAAACTTTGAGGCGGGTGTAATCCACCGGCTTACCGCAAAGAAGCTGAAAAGGAGATTGGCAATGTAATAAGGGTGAAGGAGTTCGATTGATTAAATAGGTAGTTGTAAGAACACATTCGCCCCAGAATTTTATAGGGACATGAGACTGAAAAAAAAGAGCTCTAGCTACACTAAGGAGGTGGTGATGCTTCCTTTCAACTACTGAGTTTTGTTCAGGTCGCTCAACACATGAAAATTGGTGTATTACACCGTTGGAATTGAAGAAATCTGTGAAATGTAGTTCAGGTGCATTATCAGACTTAAACCTTTTGATTACCTTACCAAATTGTGTTTCAATAAGGGAGAAAAATCTGGGAATTATGAATTTAACATCAGATTTCTGTTTCATGAGAAATAACCATGTAAATCTGGTACAATCATCGACTAAAGTCAGAAAATAACGATAGCCAGCACGTGTTGGTGTATGGTATGGGCCCCATGTGTCACAATGGACCAAATCAAAGGCATTCTCAGAAAAATTGTTGTTGGAAACGAAAGAAAGGCGTCTTTGTTTAGCCAATGGGCAAATGGGACAATGAATGTCTTTATGATTATTACAATCAAATGACAAGTTGTCCTTCAGCATTTCTAAGCGTTTAAACGACAAATGACCAAGTCTATTGTGCCATATTTGTGAGGACACATTATTTATCATTGGAAAGGAAGAATTACAGGTAGTAATAGTTGGAATTGAATTACAAGAATTTGAGAAATGAGCAGTGTCTATGACATAAAGATCAGCCACTTTGTTACCCTTGCCAATCATCTTCGAAGTTGGCATTTCCTGGATAACACAACGATTCATGAGAAATTTAACATGGATGGAAGAATTTCTTGTTACTGAACTTACAGATAGCAAGTTGAAGTGGAATTGTGGAACATAAAGAACATCATGCAAAGTCAGAGATGAATTGTTCCAGAAAATTTGACATGTATGCGGGTGCTATTGGGAAGAGTGATAAATGAATTTGGAATGGGAGTTATGGTATGGAAGAGAGACAAATCAAAGCATACATGGTTTGTAGCACCAGAGTCAACTATCTAATATCTAGGGGAATGGAGGATAGGATGATTAGAGACAGAGAAGCAGGTACCTGATGTGTGTGATAGGTTCACATCAGTTCCTATGTTGGCTTTGGCTGATGTCAGATGAGAGTTTAACACAGCCATCAACTGCTGGTATTGATTGGGATTCAATGTTTGCATAAATCCATCAATGTTTCCTTGTTGATCAGAAGATGATTCCGAGACCTGATTAACTGCTGCAGTACTCAACTGTGTGACCATTGAGTCTACAATATGAGTAAGCTGGACGTTCCTTTTTCTGAGATTTTCCAAAATGTGGATTGTCATTGGACCGATTATTGTCATTTTTGAAAGAAAAAGTCATAGGATTATTTCCAGCAGACATCCCTGTCACGTTATTCAGAGTCCTTTGGTGTTCTTCTTGCGAGACAAGGGCAAATACCTTGTTAATGGGAGGTATTGGATCCATGAGCAGAATTTGGCTGTGTGTTTGAGCAAATGAATAGTGAAGCCCCATCAGGAATGACATCACGTGTTTAGTTTGATAGTGATCTGACAAAGCCTTATTACCCCCACATGTACACTTTCCACATGAGGAAGCTGGTCTATAATTACTTAACTCCTCCCAAATTGTCTTCGACTTGGTGAAATAAACTCCCACAATCAGTTGACCTTGTGTATGATTCATCAATTCACGCCTCAACTGGAAGATACGTGGTCCGTTCTTCTGTTGGAATCTTTCCTTAAGGTCCTTCCAGATTTCATAGGCTGATGCAGAATATATGACACTCGCTGATATTTCCTTAGACACAGAATTAAGGATCCAAGATATAACTATGTTATTATTGAGAGTCCAAGAATTGATGAGATTGTCATTACCCTCAGGTTTCGGAATGGATCCATTGATGAAACCTAACTTGTTCTTCACAGATAGAGCTATCATCATACTTCTGCTCCAAGATGCATAATTGTCACCAATTAATGGTTGCGAGACAAGGATGAGACCTGGATTATCTGTATGATGAAGATAATACGGACTTGATCCATCTTCAGTGATTAAATTGCTACCTGAAGATGTTGAACTGTCCGAATTCGTCAAAGCATCAGACACCATGAAGATGTTGAATCAATGACCAGAATAAAATAGGAATCAGTTACTGGTTGAACTCCGCAAGACAAGATCTGATTCAATCTCTGCAGCAGACGAGGAAGATTGATCAGAAATTCCAAAAGTGCTCTGATACCATATTGGATCAAGAGAGAAAAGGCGGGAAAATATGTATTCTATTTCTGGAAATGAAAACCGTATTTACAAAGTGCCTAGCTGCCTATATAAATAACAGAATGACAGCTGGTGCCAGCTTGTGTAAAATATCTAATACTTCTTCTTTCTGCTCTTTTAAATATAATGGTATACTTTTTCAAGAAGTGCCTCACTTTAACTTGATATTATCGTAAGGGCAGGAATCATGTGCACCCTAAATCTCAAGAGTTCTACATTTTATTTGCAGAGGCTTATCATATAATACAACATGGATGGTATCTTCAATGACGCTGCTAATTGCTCCCCGGACGTACTATCTTCAAAAGCACATGATATATTTGGAGATCCTAAAATGTTCATCAGAGTTGGAGTTGAATATCAGGTCGAAGTTCCATCACTTATCCCGGGATGTCAAAGTTTGCAGCCTAAAATAAGAAATTATTATTCCAGAATTATGTTAAATAATACATATGCAAAAACACATGCTGTATTAGACAATGACAAAGAAAGTGGATGGCCAGTAAATCATCAACCTATATTTGCTTGTGATAGTATGGATGCCACATTGGTGACAGCCCACGGAAGAAAAGCCGGTTCACAAACCAAAGCTTGGACAAAAATTGAACGTGATGGCTTTCTCCTCGGTTTGTACTTCTTTGGGAAAAACCTTCTGCTGGCCAGAAAATTTGTTGAGAGTAGAGATATGGGAGACATATTAGCATACTATTATGGAAAGTTCTATAGATCAAATGATTATCGAACCTGGTCAGAAAGTCGAAAACTCAAGAGTAGAAGATACGTCCATGGACAAAGGATTTTAAGGGGTTGGAGGCAGCGGGAACTCTTATCTCGTTTGTTTTGCCACATCTCAGAAGAATGCCAGAAACAGTTGACAGAGGTATATTCTTGAAATTTGATTGTTTTATATTTGCCACAGCAGAGACTTTGGAAGTCTTCAGTTTGCAATAGTTGCATCATATGAAAAATATTATCAACTCTTTTGATACTTGTTCCCCATTGTTATTTGTATATTTATGAGACTTAAGAAGCTGTGCGCCACAAAGTTGTTGAGCATCATGAAACTTCTGAGGATATGCATATATACAGACATGAATTTTACTTATATGAAGAGAGAAATGAAAAAAGTAAGAAATTACAATACTAAGGCAATCAATTAAGTTACTGTGTTGTAGGAACAATTTTCATCCTAAGGAAAAAAAATACTACTTGATAAACGGTGTCATGCTTTTGCATTAATTTCAAATGGTCATATGACCCTTTCACTGATTTTGTCAAGTTGCAAGCAATTGATGTCATATGGTGGGTCTTCACTTGTCGAACAATTGGCATTGGATCTTTGATGTTGTAATTGTCGAGCATTTGAAATAATGGTCCAAATAATCATGTTATCTTTCACAAAATAGGCTGAATAGTGAGAGTAATTTGGTAGATGCTAGATGTCTTAAGTGATGTGATCTGGACCTATCTTAAGAGGAATATAATTTTTTTGCGCTATTGTCCTCATGATACTGGGAGTGCTCTGAAGAGTTTTGTTTCTTATAATTCTTTGAAGTAGACTAAAAAATATAAAATTTGGTAATCCTTTTTCTGTTTTCCGAAATAATGGTCAAAATAATCATGATATCTTTCACAAAATAGGCTGAATAGTTAGAGTAGTTTGGCAGATGCTAGATGTCTTAAGTGATGTGATCTGGACCAATCTTAAGAGGAATATATATTTTTTTTTGCACTATTGTCCTCATGAAATTGGGCTTGCTCTAAAGGGTTTTGTTTCTTATAATTCTTTGAAGTGGACTAAAAAAATATGAAATTTGGTAATCCTTTTTCTGTTTTCCCAACACCTTCAAGATGCAATTCATTATGTGCCTATAAGATTACTATCAGCCTTGACATGGATTGATTGATTTATTTATTTTGATCTTATTTAAAAAATGGAGTTTTATTGCTGTAAAGTGTTATATATTTTCAATAACTAAACTTGAAAGCATTGATGTTTCTTGCTGAATATGTCCTAAGGTGCCTCTGCTGTTGATATCTCAGGGTATCACTAGTTATAAATTTCATGGAGTGCATGTACCCAGTACCTGCCACTTCTAGCTTGCCCTAATGCTGAATTATCTTTCTTTACATTTATCGAATAAGTATATTGATGAATTTCTTTCTATTTGTGTGTGGTCTCACCTACTACACTGGTGGAACTAACAAGTTTTACGATGACATTTTCGGCTTCAGGTTTCGATGACATTTGCAGCAGGAAAACTTTCACTGGAAGAGTATGTATTCACTCTGAGAAATATGGTTGGCACCAACATGCTTGTAGAAGCAATAGCAATTGGCAAAGGGAACAAAGACCTTACCCGCACTGCTATGGATCCTTCGAAAGCTAATCATTCCATACCTCTTGGTGCTGGAGTACCTAGTGGTAAAGAATGCTCCTCTCTTACCTCAAGTGAAATCATCAAGTTTCTGACGGGTGATTTTCGGCTAAGCAAAGCTCGATCCAGTGATCTTTTTTGGGAAGCTGTTTGGCCCCGTCTTTTAGCAGGAGGATGGCACTCCGAGCAGCCTAGAAATCTTCCATATGCTGATCCAAACTATTTGGTATACATTATACCTGGTGTTAAAAAATTTTCCCGGAAACTTGTGAGAGGAACTCAATATTTTGATTCCATTAAGGATGTCTTGAAGAAGGTTGCATCCGAGCCTCATCTCCTTGAGTTTGATGATGTAGCTGCAGAAGATAGCACAAAGATGAAGGACGATGTGTTAGCTCTACAAACAGAACAGGACTTGGAGGGTTTATCAAATCAGAGATGCCATACTTATCTCCAGACACCAATTTCTACTTGCAGGCAAAATTTAATGAAATTTACAGTTGTGGATACCAGTTTGTTTCGTGAAGGCGGAAGGATGAATGTGAGAGATTTGAGATTTTTGCCTCCAGAACCTTTAAGTAAATGCATGGAGCCCGCATGTTATAACAAGAAAGACAGAATTCCAGATCCGCTCGAAGATGTAACTGAGAGCAGACCATGCAATGACACAGCAGACTGTGAAACTGATAATTTCGAGAAGCAATTGCCTACTGCTTCAGATCCTATGAGTACATCGGTAGAAAATGACTATGACAGAAGCTCTACTGCCTCCACAAGTTGGAAATCAAAGATGACGATGAAATTCCAATTTAGTCGGAGGCTGAAAAATAACAAGTTAAATCATTCGATTTCCATCGCTGATGAGCAGAACTTTACTGGTGGCAGCGATCAAAATTCAACAAATGATGCTGAAAACATCTCCATGGATGCTAATTCGAATGTACAAGGATCCTCCGGTTTAAAAAACAGTACAGTCACTGAACTATACCTAAATTCTTCATCAAACAATACTTTCTCTGGCATCCTGGAGGAGAGCAGTGAAAGAAATGTTAGTAAGAACTTTTCAGCTAGCGAACTGTGTAATGAGAAGTCTGAGACCGAGATATTGGTTGGTTTGAATTCTCCTCAGGTCCCTTTCGTGGAGGAGTTTTTTACAGTGATGCCTAATTCTATTGATTCATCTTTTGACAAGTCATTCTTACACTCCAAAGGAACTCAGCAGTCTGGGATGTTGGTTGCCAACAATGCTAGAGTCCCTGCAGAGAAGCAGCTTGTAGTCGATGGTCGGAGGCAGAGCACGAGAAACAAACCTAGCACGAAAGGGTTGGAAGCCATTGCATATGGGTTCCTAGGCTCAAAACAGAAAAGGAAGAGTTTGGAGGTCGATTCTCTAGATAACTACGTGTCAATGCCTTCACGGTGGGTGCACGAGAAAAGCCGTAAGTTTGAATACTCTGAATGATCCTACAGCTATGACACTCTATCTTATAATGTCAGTGCACATTTAGTACTAGAGATGATAATAAACAACGTTCCAAGAGCTCAGATCAAATCGGTATTGATTTAGGTTCTTTTTCTTCCTAATACTGTTCAATATTATCAAAAACATTCTGTTAAGGAAGCAGATGCTGGTGGAGGCCGTATTGCTAAAAATGAGATTGTTGGAGAGTCTTCAAAATTATCTCAGGGAACATGGATGGTGTTTTCGCTATAGGTATTGCTAAGGTTTGCTGAAATTATTGGATGTCTTGTAGTCATCTTTGTTGCTGGGTTCTCGTTAATTCGTTAAACGAAGACTAGTTTCATCCGACTACTACATACTTTTTGGTTCAATAGAGAGAGAGGCCATAATATGGATAAAATTGATCGGGACGAGTAGCTTATCAAATATGATGCTAAGGAAAAATGCTCTATTTTCATCTCAAATGTTTGATACCTGCACCTGCTTCTGAGAGTTTCCAGAATGTCATCAATGGAGGCGCATGCCAGTCATAGCTTGATAAAAGAAAGAGATCATTGAAAGCTAATACCAAGTTTATGGAAGGCATAAGAGTTCAGCGCTTGGAATAGTTCATCAGTATGTTCTTGGACAAGGTGTGCAAAACAAGTATAAATATTTTCAAGTTATTGATCTCACATTAATCATGAATATTGATTACTAACAAATCCTTGTTGAACGGTGTAGTGAAACTTCTAATGTGATTGCACATTGTCAATTGTTGAATCCTTTTTTTACCTTCTTCTGGATTTTATGTTCAACTTCTGCATCAAGAAAAAGAGAAATTTTCTTGTATCTGTGTATCTGAGTTTCGATTTCCAATTTCTGCTTCTTCAAAGCATATATGGCTTGTTGGGTAATGTGCACTATTTAGTAGTTAAAAATCAAATATTGTCTATTATACTAGCTTGTAATGCATAGCAAGCATGTCGATAGTCTAGTTATCTCAAATCATTGATGAACTTCCATTTCTTGTTGGAGAATTTTAAAAATAATGCCGGTTTTGGAAATTGGCACGTTGGAGCAAAGATGGATATGCAAGTCAAGTGATTATGGATCGTGGTAAAAACATGACTTGCTTTCTGATTTTTCCATTGGTTTTCAATTTTGTTCATTTACTTTTGTACTTTGGTATACTGTAGAATTGAAGTACAAAGATTTTATGCAGACTAGTCAAAGTTGAACGTGCATTGCACGTTATTCTAAAATAATTTATAAATGATGTAAAAGTAATAGTTGATACCAATTTGTTAGAGGATTTGACGAGTCTCTGATGAATTAAAGAAAATAAAATTTGGCATAGAAATTTAAGAGAAGAAAATTGTACTTAAATTGTGCTCTCACAACTTAATTTTTATTATTCAAATTTTTGTAACGATGAAATACTTTAAATGAGTAATCTTTTTATTATACATTTGATATATAAAAATTAATTGTTAATACGTAAATTTAAACACTCGTTAAAATTTTCAGATACATGAATATAAATAAGTTCATCTATAATAACTCTAAGTTCATATAATTCAAGATTCATCAAGTGAAAATTCATTGAATCTAGATTAATGTTAATGTTAATGAATTGAGAAATAATAACACAAATTTTATAAATGACAATAATTTTGTTGTATGTATTCTATATTGAAAAACGAAAAGTAAGGTATTATTAAAATAATTGAATTGTAGGGGAGGTTAAAATTGTTCAAAAAAATGATTCTTCCTTCATGTGATATTTTAATATATTTAAGATTGTTGTACATCTTGGTGTTCGATTTGTTGTTATTAGTGCATAAACCTAATGAAATATTTTATTGATTCCATAGTATCTTGGTGGCTTATTTGGATCTTGTGCACTCATTTTGTAAGGGACAATATAGTTTTAAGGGGAGCGTCGGGGCGAAGGTAGTGGGGGGCTGGGATAGGTTATAGCCGGGCCCAACCCCCAACCCATTTGGAAAATAATGAAGAGTTTGTTTAATTTTGGTCCAAATATTTGTGTTAGCCCAACTATGATTTGAATTCTAGCCCAAGCTCAATGTTCAATTACTCAAATCTTGTAGAAGAGGCTATAATTATTAAATACTATTTTCATGATATTTGAGAAACTTGAATATCTTATTTTAAAATTATGCATTTTATTTAATGCGTGTTTGACTAAATTTACTTATGGTAATTAAGTGAATTTTATAATAGAAACTTTGTATTGATCAGATTTAAAAATCACTTGTTTGAATAATTAGAGACACTACACACTATATTTTTTGCTAAGCTTAAAAGTAATTAATTTTTTATTTCTACATATGTTTTCGTATATTACCTATTCATACTTATAGGAAAAAATTAATTATTTTGACCATAAAATAGATGTTATAACCAAAATAAATAACTTGTTTTAGATTTGATCTTGTCAATAAAAATAATTTTTGTTAAACTTTATTTATTTAAAAATTAATCTATATATAGGTATATTCTTGAAACTGAGCAAACTATGGACATGAATTAAATTTAATTTCTTTAGACCCTCATAATTCTTAGTCGATCTTTCTCTTTCATTTAAATGTGATTTCTTACTCATTATGGAATGAAGTGATATAGAAGATTGTTGTCCATACCGAATAGTAGTTTGAAACAATAACATATAATGATATATAATTGATTGCATGTTTCTACCAAAGCTTTATTTGTTTGAAAATACTGATTGTCAAATTTATTTAGAATAGTATTCATTAAATAATTTCTTAATTTTTTATTGGTGGATACGTATCATTAGCTTATTCCGATCATGGTTTGGTTAGTTTATTTTTTTAACGTAATCGTCGATTTTTTTATTTGGTAAGAAAATACAAAAAAGAATTAGTGGGATATCTTATGGTGAAACATTTAGAGTTCTTTTATTTTATTGAGTGTTGTACACTCTTTGTCTTGAATATCATGAATTTAGCTTATTTCGACGTGAGTTCACCAAAAAAATTTTAAGTTTCAGCCCATCCTAACATCATTTTCTGGCTCTGCCCCTGAGGAGTGTCATCACGTTTCTTGAAATTTACTACAAAACTGTTTTCTAGACATTGCTGCAAGTGTTCTCGCCTACATTTCTAAGTTATTTGAGATCAAATATTCTGATACCATGGTACCAAGAAATCATATATGTAAATCTCATTTAGGCTTTGCTAGTTTTTAAATTTAGAAGGGGAAAACAAAATCAGCAAAAGCAAAAGCAAAGCCAAATATACATCAACAAATGATCTTTAATTGCAATGAGCAACCTTCGAGCAATAAAATATAACTCAAGAAAAGTTGTTGCAGTCGAAGATCCAATAACTTGGGACGTTTCATGATTTATATTTCTTTCAATGTGTCGTTTTATTTAATTAGAGAATAAATTATGTTTTATAATTTAGATGGAGTTGAATTTATATTTCAATGGGAGTTTAGGGACTAATGTGCAATCTTGGTTATTGTCACGTTTCAAGATTTATGAAGGACACCTCGGTGGCTATAGATTGTTTTGCTAAAGAAGCATCAGGATCATATTGGAGTTAGAACCTAAAGAAAACTTAGGCATTAATCGTGTTTGCAATTTATTTATAGCTCGCCAATGAGATCCTCCAATTAAGTACATTGGACTTGTATCAATGAAATCTCATCATCCATATAATGAAAAAAATAATAAATTTGGGAGAGTTTTCTTTTATTCTTTTACTTAAATTGACATTTTACGGAGTTAACATCTTCATTTTGATATTCTATTAGATTTTTATACGTTAATAAAATTATGTAAAAATGACGAAATAAGCAAACGGAACTTAAGGATAAAAATTGAAAAGTTCGACTTTAAAGGTTGGAACGAATTTTTTCAGAAATCCTAAAGGTTGGGATTATTTGCACAAATTTTTCAAATAAAAAATGAAAATATAAGGTTATTGTCAGGAGGATTTAAAACTTTGTTTCCTAAATAAAAATTAGAATCTTTACCATTAGGTTACAAAGAGTGTGCGCACGGGCGGACCCAAGAGGGGGTCATGGGTGGGTGGGGGTCACTTGACCCCCCAACTTTTGAGATTTTTTTTTTTTTTTTTTATAAAGTCATGTTTGGTATCGATTGAAATTTAAATTTTAATCTAAATCAAAATTAATAAGTAATTTTAATAACATATTTCCTGAATTCCTTAACTTCTAAAATTTTATCAAAATTTACTAAAAATCGAACTTTAACCTCCACCAAACAAAGACAAAATCACAATAAATTTATAAATTTGAATTTTCTCTATTTTTTATTGCTCTATTATATTTTCTCCCTCAATCCTTTTACCAAAATCTTAATTCTTCTAATTTTTTAAAATTTGTTTATAATTTCTCTACAATTATCCCATCTACTACAAATTTTCACATTTTAATCAAATTTTCAACTAATTAGAACCTAAATTTACATTTTCTCATATCCTATTTGAATATATAGCACGTGTCTAAACTGATTATATAATATTTTACTTATATTTAACGAATTGTGTTTATTTGATTAATTATTAGTGAATATTGGTTATTTATTTTTTCTTTCAATTACTTGAATTAATTGTTTGTATTAAATACACAATTTTTTAAAACAAAAATGTGCATTTTCTTGTAATGAGCAAAATATTAAAAAAATTATTATTCAAAATCAAATAGATGAAAATGATTTGCAAAATATTAATAAAGAAATATTTTTGAAATGTAAATCTATATTTTTTGGGTCAAATATGAATCATTCAAAAATAAAAAACAAAGTATGCGATTTGTATAAAGTTCGATTGTGTCTCCTAACTCAATTTCTTTGCGTCCGCCCCTGTGTATGTTGTAAGTTAAAGTTTATTTTTTATTATTTATTTTTAATATAAATAAATAAATAAATTGGAGAAGCTTGGGAGGCCGAGCCCGTTGGCTCCACCACTGATGTGTTATTTTTATATTTTTTCAACAAGTCTAATCTTAAACTTCAGCATTTTCAGACAATCACAAACTATCTTAAATTATAATATTATATTCTAATTAAGGGCGGTGATGATTTGAAAACCAAGAACTAATCCTCTGCAGTGACAATTCCTCAAATTTTTGAAACAGCGGCTTTAAAGTATTGCACATTCATGTGTTAATAGAGCAAAAGGGTAAACTTGACTAAAAAGTACAAGTCGTCACAAGAAATAACCATTGCAGAGGATCTACTTTCCAGACAAAATTGATTAATGATTTGAAATGGTTTGCTTATAGATTGAAGTGTTGTTTTAATTATTATCACCTTTTCTCAATCATCTTTTCTCCGAGTCAAAAAGGTCTAGGATTGTACTCAAGAAATTACAAACGTACATGAAATCAAAATACCCTGATCCACGTTGATCTCCTGCTTGGCAAGGATTAAAATCAATTTTTTTATTTTTATTTTTATTTTTTTGTAATTCACGATTAAAAATAATGAAATGTGTGGTTGAAAACTGTGAACTTATGAAATATATTATTAAAATTAATTATTGACTTGGATTTAAATTTTACTATGTACCAAACAGCGGCTTGTTAAGTAGTACTGGATGGATAGTCTCGTCCACTACTATGAATAAGATTTTAATTCGCTCGTGTCTAATAATGTACGCCAAACATAGATTGTACAATTATTATTTCTAATGCGCTTATATGCCTAATATATCAAAATTTCATTCACTACTTATAAGCATATTTATTGAGTAACATCAAAGAGATTGATAGTCTCGT